GTTGGGGTAGTGGTTGTGTGTGTGTGTGTGTGTGTGTGTGTGTGTGTGTGTGTGTGTGTGTGTGTGTGTTAGTGTGTGCGTGCATTGGTATTACAGTCTGCAGCTGATAAAGTAAAAGCCAGATCAGGGGAGGCAGTTTATTTGACTGCCTATGTCCATGTCTATCTTCATGCATGTGCTTCCTCCTGCACTCTGAGGATGATGATGGTGAGCGACGACTGTCTGGTGGAGTGTAAGATCGATGACAGTGATGAAGATGATGGTGGAGTAGAACAGATGAGCCCCCCTCCTCCTCCTCCTCCTCCAGAGTTTGCATCCAATGCCCCGACTCCGGCATCCAGGCCTCCGACCCCTCCCACGGCCCCTGATACACCCACACCCACCCGTCCTGTCAGCAGGGACCCTTATGGCATCAACAAGCACCTACAGGTTGTTTTATATATCAGTGGGATCTTTGAATCTGTTTGATTTTACACTTCCTCCATTGACTCTCATTGATAGAAGCTGCTGCGCTCTTTTAAAAACTCCTAGACTCTGTTCCTCCTTTTGTATATGATATTTTGCATCAGTGTGTATTTCACAATGAATTCCTCCATACGTCCCATCTTCCTTCATCCAGCTGGAATTAAAATGTGTTTTTATCTAAAGTCCCAGACAAAGTCCATTGTCCATTTTAACATCGCTACAACATTTGGGACAAATTTAAGACCTGGAAGTGAATCACTTCAATGCAATGTTGAGCTACTTTAGTGCACTACATTTTCCCTGATAGCTGTAATTAGAAAAGCATTTTTTAAGTAAGATACAAAACATATGAAAAGACAAGAAAATACAATACAAATCCTGTAGAAAAACAAATTCTCTCTACTCAGAGCTCAGATGTGTATTAGCTGATTGTGTTTAAAGTGATATCCACACTAAAGCTCACACTTAGTTTCCTTTTAATCCCTGAAGCACAAGTAGATTTTAGAGAAAACTAAATCCCCAAATCAAAATAATGAACTTGCGTTGCAGAACACTCACTCACACACACACACACACACACACACACACACACACACACACACACACACAAACATCCAGTACTAAGAGTTGGGGATGGAATATTTTTATATCACTGTGATCTTCTTCCATTGCAGATTATTCTTTCTTCGTCTCCATTGCTTTGTATTAGATTTAATATACCGGATTTGATATATGATGATACATAAAATAATATTAACTTTTGTCTTGTCTTGATGGTGTAAAGTGTTGCATGGTCAAAAACGTATTCTGCATAATGATGGTATGGCAGAGGTTCTTATCATTAATCCTATAAACTAAGACTAGTGCTGTGATAAGTCTCCTTTGGCCTCTGTTCTCAAATACAAATCAATTCAAACAGTAACAGAGATCTGGATGTCATTTCTGATTCTGTTTTAAATTCAGACATTAGTTTTTCCCACATCGGATGAATGTGTAAAATAAGATCCTATTTTACTCGATAACTACCCTTGACTGTCTTGTTCCCTGTCTGTCTGTGCAGGTGGAGGTGAGTGATGTGCTGGCAGAGCCTGCTTCACCTCACAGCATAGACCAGGTGTGGTTTTACAGCATCACCGGCTTTGAGAGGGCTCGCACCTGGACGTACCGTTGCCTTACCTTGCTGCTCGCCGTGCCCTTCGCTTTCCTCTGTGGAGTCTTCCTGGCCATTCTGGCTTGTCTGCACGTGTGGTACGCTGGGGTGAAAATAAAACATCAGTCCCTCAGACTATGATTGGATTTGTTTAAGCACCAGCATCCATCAAATACGTCCTTGTCTTGCCTGTAGAGGAGAAGAGATCCAATACAGAGGCAGCATTCCTGAATCTACTGTACAACATGTCAATAACATACATAATTCTTTTCACGCTTGTTGTCAGCATCTCTCCCTCTCTCACACACATGCACGCGTACACACACACACATTTATACACTCTACTTAAAGTTCAGAAACAGCAGCTACAACACCTATACCTTTGACTTCACTATGATTTCCTTTATAACAATTTTACAAAATAGCATCTATTTTCCCCCCTGACAGAGAGACAGTTTGACTGATTTCCTCTCTCTCTCTCTCTCTCCCCCTGCAGGTTTGTGGTGCCCTGCATACAGCTGAGCTACACCTTCCTTCCATGCCTGCGGTCCTTGTGCATGTTTTCTGTGAATGTTTTCATCTCCCCCTTTTGTGCGTCTCTCGCCCTCTGCTGCAGTCAGATTGCCATTTCACTGTCCAACAAAGACTGGCATCAAATGAGGGACAAAGAGGCTGCACCAGTGTAAGACGTGGCCAGCAGGTGATAAGTGAGTGACTGAGTTACAGCATCATTGAGTAAAGGACTCAGACTCAAGTCTGACTTGAGTCCTGGTTTTCTGTAGTCATAACTTGACATGGATGTGAACACTGATGACTCAGATTTGGACTCAGGCATTGAGTGCATTCTCACTCAAGAGGTCCCCTTTTTTTATAAAGCAACACTATGCAAGTTTTTTTTTACATTAAACTAGAAGCTTCCCCCTGAACACCTGTGCTTTTTCTACAGCTGCTTTGAGTTATGCAATGAAGTCCGGTGAACCTCTGGATGTTCTGCAGAGGAGCTGTATTTGAGAATGCAAATGTCTGATTGAGAGCCTCCAGACTTAGTTTTTCTCCTTCCAGCCCCTAAGAAAAAATTCAGCAGAATGTCTAAAGGAGCCCATGTGAGAGCACAGCTGGTGATCCTACACAGGGTTCACTGCGAGTTAGTGGGTGCTTTGATGACAATTCTTACCTGTGACAGATGCAAAAGTGAAATGGCATGGCAGGGCCATACACATGCCATATACATACATGTGCTGTAAACAAAAAAACATGATCTCTGGGGGAGATGCTTTTGCTTTGTTGCTTGTGAGTGAAAGGCCAACTCTGGTGAAAGTCTGGACCCAATTCTGCAGACATCTTCCAGAATTCATGTCTGAAAACAGCTTATGTAACTTTGGTGAGTGGGTATGATCTGTACGTAGCTGAAGTAATACATTTCCAGAATCAAGTTCAAGAGTAATGCTGTAACTGAAGATCAGTTAAAAAGACAGAAGAGGGTAATAATGGGTAATATGCACCATTCAGTTGTGTTTCAGTTCCACCCCACACAGTGATAGGCTTTGTTTTTTCTCTGTGTGAAAACCCTTAAATCTCTCATATTCAGAGCACAACAGAATTGGACCACAGAGGGCGCCGTTGCTCAGTGAAAGTTACACAGTGTTGCTTTTATTTTTGTGTGAGGGCCGGCACTGGTGTTCACCTACAAGCAGATTCATGTATATACCACCAATTTGTGCTAAGATGCCTAAAGAGATGCTTTAAATCATCAGCTTCTCCCTGATGTGACCTGGACATTGGAGACACAAACCTTGAATGAGATTCAAGGTTTGACTTAACTTACAACACGGGACGGAGTGAGTGGGATAGAGTGAGAAAATTTAGTTTAAATGTGCATATGTCTTTTTTTGTTTTTCAATTTCTGCAACCTGGTAATGTTACTGCTCTTTGATGTGTTTTCTATATGTAAAGATAATTCATAACAATGATTCTTGTCAACATTACTATTACTGTTACGTTTGAACTGACTTCAGATGTAATTCTGACAGACTTGTATCATTAATTAAATCTTTTTTCAAATTTCCGTGAGGATTTTTGTTTTGTTTTGAATAAACCTTTTAACCGCAGCCATTTCGAGTAATGATGAACACAATTCATCGTTAGTGATTAGTAATACCTTTGGTCTGTATGTGGTCCATCAATAGGTGTTAGGGCTGAAATTAGTAATTCAGTAAAAGTTAGTTGAAATGTATTATAACAGTATTTATTAATCCATTAAGATTTCTAATATTTTCTTTTTGTAGGTTTTAGGAATGAGTTGCTTGTCTTTGTTTGGCAACTAACAAACTAAAAATAAAATAAGAAATAAAATAAACTAAACTAAAAGAATAAACCAAACAAAACAACTAAAAAAACTAAATAAACAAAAAATTAATTAAACTAAACTAAACTAAACTAAACTAAACTAAACTAAATTAAACTAAACTAAACTAAACTAAACTAAATCTAACCTAACCCAACTCACCTCGACTAAAGTAAACCAAACTAGACCAAACTCAACTCAACTAAAATAAACGAAAACAATAAACTAAAGTACTACATTAACCAAACCTCACACCAGCAGAATTATTGACATAAGTCGGTCCACAGTTTGGTCGTTGCAGTGGGAGCTGTGATTTCCTGGGGTACGTGAAAGGCGCATTAACTACCCAGCATGCACTTGGTCGTCGCCATTTTTGTTGTTGTGAAGTGCGTGGAGCCGCTCTGCAGAAACAAACCTCAGTCTGAGTGTTGACTTTGTCTCTGTCTCTGTGAGACTCTGTGTGAGTGAGTGAGCGCTGAGGACACAGAGTCATCATGGCGCAGTACAAAGGAGCAGCCAGCGAGGCGGGACGAGCCATGCAGCTGATGAAGAAACGAGAGAAGGAAAGAGAACAGCTCGAGCAGCTGAAGCAGAAGATCGCAGAGGTCTCTACACGAATGTCCCGAGTCATAACGTGTTTCCCCCTCATTCAACCCCTGTCTGTTGTCCCCTGTCATCCACCACTGTAGTGTGTAGAGGTCCGTGAAGGGGTCCCTGGTCCAGAGGATGCAGTGTTGCTGTGATGGGGCATCATCAGTGACATTGTGGTGTAGTTTCCTGTTTCCTGTCTGAACTCACCCTCCTGTGTGTCTCTGTTTCCTCTCAGGACAACATGGTCAAGTCCAACATCGATAAGAAGTTCTCGGCTCACTATGACGCCGTGGAGGCAGAGCTCAAGTCCAGCACAGTTGGTTGGTACCATCCCACCTGAGACACATCCAAAGCCCACATGCAAAGAACCTGGAGAAACACATGGACTGAGTCAGAAGACAGTACTAGTCCCACAATGGGGACATTAGCTGTCTGTCTGTCTCAAGCACAAAATGAAAATATCACTCGGAGTAAAATAAGTTAACATGCCATATAAACACAAGGAGATATAANTTCATCAGTTTTCGAGTATGTTTAAGTGCTCAAAAAGTAAAAATAATAATCACATCAGGGCGAGGGCCCTAATAATAATAATTGTAATAATAATAATAACTAGAATTTATATAGCAACTTTTTAAGAGCCCCATGTGTCACAAGGGACCAAAAGAAAACGTAGCACACTATATAAACTGTGAGCAGATTGCACATGAGACATCGAATTGGACGGACAGAAATGAGTTATTGCACATTAATGTGAGGATATATGAATCAAGATGGCGACGGCGAGTGCAGACGCATCGACTCGGCTCTCTCTCTTTTTGTCCTAGTTTTTTTTTTTTGTATTTCCTGTCAGGACTTTAGCTCAACTGACCACATGAATGTTGAGACACATCTGCACCTAAAAGAAAGCAGCAAAAGAAATACACAGCAAAACAAATATTGCTCTACATTTGTGAATAGTTGACTGATCTCCCCGTGTGACTCCTGTTTGACCAGTTGCATGTGTCCCTATGTTTCGCTCAGGTCTGGTGACACTGAATGATATGAAGGCCAAGCAGGAGGCGCTGGTGAAGGAGAGAGAGAAACAGCTGGCCAAGAAGGAGCAGTCCAAGGAACTCCAGCTGTGAGTTTCTACTTCCTGCCAGCATACTTTCTAATAAACCTTTTCTTACATCCAGTACAGTTTCTGAGAGACTTCTCAATTTCTTGAGAGAATCACAAGTGCTGTTTAACATACTGTAGTATAGTTGGAGTATGGTTGATGAGTGTTCTTTGGCAGCAATCACATCTACACACAAAAAACAAGGAATTTTACTTTGGAATGTTCACAAGAAGTTAAAACCCAAGCTTGTCCTCAGGGCATTCTCATGCCAGATGGGATGTGTAGTACTGGGTCTACCCCGGAGTCTTCTCCTGGTTGGGCAAGACCAGTAAATTTCCAACCAAAGGCCCAAGAGGCATCCGAACGAGATGACCTCAACCACCTAAACTGTTTCTTTTTTCCACTGTGAAGGAGCAGTGGTTCTTCTCTCAGCTTCCTCTGAAAGTCTTTACTCCTCACCCTCTTTAAGGCTGTGCCCAGACACCCGACAGAGGAAACTCATTCTTTCAGTCACTACCCAGAGCTCTTGATCATGGGTGATGGTTGAAATGTAGATCAACCAGTAAATCGAAGGCTTTGCTTTTCTGTTTAGCTCCTTCTTCACCTCAACGGCCCGGTACAAAGCTTACATTATACTGCTAATACTGCACAGACCTGCCTGTCATTTTTGTGCTCCACCTTCTCCTAACTCATTAAAAGCATCCATGATACTTAAACTCATTGACTTGGGGCAGCAACTCACTCCTAAACTGACAAACCGTGTTTCTGTTGGAAACATTTGTGCATGGCGGCCCAGCACACCAAAATCTTTGCCACAATGGTCCAAATAAATAAATCCAACCTATCAATTATCTAATCCAATGCCACAATGACCCCTGTCCTCCCCGCCCCCGGTGCAGTGCATGCATTACATACATCTCTCGCCTCACTCTCTTAGGTATCCTCTGATCCCTTTAAGTAATATCCTCTCAGTAACTACATACTGCAACCTGAGCTTATGTCACGTTACACACTTTATGGCTGACTAAATTTACTGGACTACCGGGAATTACATACACTTTTCTGTGGCTTCACATAGGTCTATGCGATATTTATCGTCTACGATAATATCTTAATTGTTGTTTTAATGATGTGTGAGCTCACATTATCGAGTATTAGCTAGAGCCACACGGAGCGCGTGCCCCTCTCCACCAGCCCCGTGAGTGAGTGAGGGAGAGCCAGGCTTCGCACGAGCACCACAGGCCAAGCCACTATGCAGCGAGGCTGTGGCTAGAGGTGTGGAAATTTCTCAATCTATAGATGCGTCGTGATAGAGGGGTGGACGACTCTGCAAAGATGCAGTGAAAGAGCATAATCAATTCACGTTTTCTAAGCTATGTTAAATTTTTAGCGATGTCCCAACAGTAAATAAGAATATCCACCGCTGCAGGATCAGGACAGATGCACATTAACGTCCTGGTAGTCCTGTACCATGTCGAAGTTCTCGCTCCCCCTCTGACTTGCGCTTACACCAACACTATTTACTGGGCTGGCACATTGTGACTGACGTGATGTTTGGCTTCTGGATGGGCCACTGGCAGTACAACTTGGTGGAGATGCTGTGGCTCTCACCTCAGAACCTGCAAGGGATGCTGGGACAGTTAGCTTAACTCAAAGGACTGAAGGAGGTGTAAACTTGGCGGTCTAAATCTTGATTGTAAGAGCACCTGCACAGCTTTATATGATTATAAAAGATTTTGTACTTGTAGTAGGAAGTCTGACTTTGTGTGTCACATTTCAATGTCCTTTTTCCAGTAGGAGGTAAAAAAATCTCTAAATCCACAACAACAAAAACTTGATTAGACTTGAATATCACTTTCATCCTTTAGAGCTGCAAAGGGCCTCTGTTCATTGGAACCTTTATTGTAGTAGTTCATTATTTATGCTTCTGCTCTTTTGCAGCAAACTAGAGAAGCAGAAAGAGAAGAAGAGAAAAGAGGAGCAGAAGAGAAAAATAGCCAGTTTATCTTTTAACCCTGAAGATGAAGAAGGAGAAGAAGATGAAGAAGAAGAAGAAGAGGAGGAGGAAGATGAGCAGGATTGTAAGTATTGATGTTTGGAAACACAGAACTGAGAATCTTCCCTGTGTTTTGTAAATTACTGTTACGTTGTACACTCACCTTTATATACGCTACGATTAGTCTGAAGTGGATCCATATATATATATATATATATATATATTAAGACAGCTTTGAATTTGAAAGGATTCGTAAGATTATTGGTAATACATTTATTTGTTTAAAGAAAGTTAAACAGGAAGATTAATGCCCCCCCTCCTAAATTAAATCTAATAGTTTTTACACTGGCTTGTGAGATTAAATCAACAGATATAAAAATGAGTCTGGGAGTTTATCTGATAGTTGTCTGATTCTTGTCTCAGATGTTCCAGCTAAGAAGAAACTGGGGAAAAATCCAGATGTGGACACAAGTTTCCTTCCTGATCGAGACAGAGAGGTGAGATCAATATGTGTGACGCTGGTTTGAGACTTTTTCTTTATGCCACCACGCCGGGGACATCCAGTGGCCACAGGCATTATGTTTTTGTGATGTCCGTCCATCCCATTCCTGTGAACACAAATCTCAAGGATGCCTTGCAGGAATTTCTTCAAACATGGTCGAAATATTTACTTGGACTTAAGGATGAACTGGTTAGATTTTGGTGGTCAAAGGTCAAGGTCACAGTGACATGTTTGAATGTGAAGACTGCTTGAGGGCGTTTGTTCAGCTTTGGATCGGTTGTCACTTGACTTCGATTTTCAGATAAAGTGATCACATTTCAGTGGTCAAAGGTCACAGTAACCTTAAATGAATCTGGAAAAAGTATGTAATGATACAGTATGTACAGAAACAACACTGTTTGACCGAGGCATACAAGCCTAATTCTAGTTTCTTACAAGCAAATATGCTTCTTGATCTTCATTTCCGTGATGACTTAAGATAGTT